GATCATTTCTCAAAATCTTCAGATTCAACCCAAGCATCCCGCTTAATGGCACGGTCATTATTAATATTATTCTTGGACCCGCCGCGCGGGGCAGAGGACGGGTGGCAAACAGAACACTGATGCATGTGGGCAGCAGCACGCCTGGCTTTTGTTCCTGAGCCATTTGGCAACCTCAGTGCTTTGTGAAATGAGCATTTCGCTTTGGGTTGGCGGGAGCTGCAAAGGTGTGGGTTGGAGGTCCAGCAGAGCAGCGCCGTTTTGGCTGTCAGGAGTCGGGATGGGAGCATTTGCATCTCCACAGCTCTGGTGTTTAATGAGAAAACAAGTGTTAGCCCATGCGACGTGCCTTATCAGTGCACAACAGGAGGCAAAAGCAGAGGAGCAAAGCTCGGTTCTTTGCATTCCTCGTGTCCGTGCTGGAGCTGCTGAGGAGCTGAGGTGAGCACCGAGGCACGGCTCGCTTTGCTGTGCCGCCTGAGCAGACTTTTCCTCCCTTGGTGCCGTTAAAATGCAGAGCGGGTAGGGCTGCGGAGCACTGGGTTAATGTCATACACTTACACAGTGCTATTGGATGGCCCACGGCGTGGTTTTACCCGATGTCATCACCTGATTCGTCCCATCAGATGCTGTGAGCGGAGGGGCTGCGCTCCTGAGCGCTCACACAGCACGACCTTGCAGCCATGCAGCGAGCAGCAGATTGATACGAAACCAATATCGATCCGCACCACGCACAGCTGGGATCAATCCCCCTTAATATCTTCCCCTGTGCCAGTGCAGCTCGGTATCTTTGAGAATTCTCTAGTAGACATGTTTAATATGACAGCGGCGCGTATGGAGGTGTCACTCCATCAATGCATATGTTGTGTTGGGTGGGCTGTGCTCGGAGGCTGAGATAGTGAGAACTGTCAGAAAGGAGCAATCAGTAAATCAGAACGTCTCCTAAGGGGATTTGCTCATAGGGATGGGGGGTCACCATCCCTGGGGGTGTTGCAGAGCTGTGGGGACGTGGGCAGTGGGCACAGTGGGGTGGGCTGGGGTAGGACTTGAGTTGCAACAGGTTGGGAAAAGCAGAAAGCGGAGCAGGGGGGAGCTGCTTGGATGGCTTTATGCATTTTGCATGCTGTCTGTGCCCACTGCTTGGCACCAGTGTCAGGGAATGAGGGCCGAGTGCCCGCAGGGACACTCCACACATTCAGAAAAATGGCCCCAAATGGCCCCAAATGCAATTTCTCCGCTCAATGCAGGGAAAGCCTTTGGGGCAAGAAGGGCTCAGAATGGCTCCAGCCAAGGAAGGCTCTCAATCATTGCTTCTTAATTGGGGTCGGCGTTAACAAGGGGATAAATGAGGCAGTGTGGTGAGCAGAGCAGGAGCCCACATCCTTTGTGTGCCGTGAATGGGCACTGCTGCACTGGGCTCAGTGCTGTGTGTGCACCTGACTGATGCCAAGCAATGAGGCCGTGTGTGCAGCCATGAACCTGATGGAGAATAATGCAGCGCCTTAGCATGGAGGGGAATTGTGAATGGTTTGAGCATAAATTATGGTTCTGATCATATTTGGCAACTTGAGACTAAAAATAAACGTGGACTTTGGGGTTATAGATTGCCATCTATCAGCTTTGTGAAAAGGAGAAAAAAAAAAGGAATTAAAAGCCAAATCCGGCCATAGAAATTGCCTGGCTGTGACCTACTTATGGAAAGTCAGGTTTTTTGTTGGTTCTTTTTTTTTTTTTTCTCCTCCAGGATTGAGCTCTGTCAGTATGGGGAGGTGTGGGCTGTGTGTGTGTAGGTTTGCTGGCCGCTGGGTGTGAGGGCATCCATTGAGCAGCCCCTGAGCAGATGCATGGGAGAGGGATGCCATGTAGTTCTGGGCAAGCTGGAAGAGGTGGAAACTGTTTTATTTCAGTTAATGGAGGAGCATCAGTGGCAGGCTTGCATCAGGGTATGGGACCACTCAGCGATGCACGTTGGCCTTGTTTGTTCTGTTTCACCCCAAAGCAGGAGGTTTTGCTGGAAGGCTCAGCACTGAGGAGGCCCCTGCAGCAGTGGAGAATGCTGGCTGGGGCTGGGTTTGGGCTTACAGTTGCAGCTGATTTGGGGCAAACCGATGGTGCAAAAGCCATGGCTGGGCTTTGGGGGAGCACAGGGGCGAGGGAAGGGAGCGTGCCCCAGGAGCTGCTGCAGAGTGGCACTGCTGAGTCTCACCCTGTCCAATCTTGCTGGAAAATTGAGTCAGTATCTGTCCCCTCCCCAAATATTTTGCGCAGCAGCACCCATGGCTCCTTCTGGCGGTGTCCCTGAGAGCTCTCTGCATCCTCCCTGCTGCTCATTGCTCCCCTGCATCCCTCCATGCGATGCTCCCCGCCTCTCCTGCTCGCAATTGCTGCCAGGAGGGGGGGCCTTCAGCCTTGGATGCTGCGAGAGGAGATAAATATGTGTGCAGAGCAGGTGTGTGTGCGCGCCCGGCTCGTTCCGCTTGTTTCCTGCCTGTTGCTTGCGAAGGAAGGAGATTTTTATCTGAGCAGGAAGAAAGCAAAGGAGCTGAAAGCAAGGCGAGGTGCTGCTTTGCAAGCATCTTCGTCCGTGCATGGCAGACTCTGCTGCTGTGGTCAAAAAGCAGCGAAGGAAGAAAGGCTCTCTCATCCCCAGAGGAGGCTACAAAGCTCCCTTTCTCTTCCTGCTGAACCTTCACAGCTGGACTCGGTTGCTGGCTCCTCTGCTGCTGGAGCGACTGAATTATTGAAAGGAATCTTGATTTTGTTTTCTCTTTGCTGTTTTCATGCGTTGCGTTTATTGTCTATAGATATTTTTAAAGTCTGAAGCAATTACAGCTGTCAGAAAAGAGACGAGCTGTGACAGGCTGATTTATATGTACATTGCATGTGTGCAAGAGAGGGAGAGCGGGATGGGCAGGGATTCTGCTGGGCATTGGTATGCAGGAACCAGCCATTTAAATTCCTTGGGACTTGCGGAGGACACCAAGCTTCTCCTAAGAGAGTTGGTTGGTGACTTTGGGTTGGGATGTCTGGAAGTCACTGCAAGCCTTTTGAGGTCCTCCTGCTCTCAGCACTGACAGGTGCTTTCTGTCCTCCATCGAGGGTGCCCAGCTTGAATGTTGCTTTAGGAGTTTGCATGGCTGCAGTCCTTGTGATCCCATTGGTTTTGCTGATGAAGGAGCTTGTCACTGCCCGGGCAAAGGGAGCAGGGTGTGCGCAGAGGGTCCTGTTCATGAGGGCAGCTAGTAAGTAGCACAGGGTGGTCCCAAAAGGATGCGCCAGCAAAATCAGTGCCTCTTGTTCCTTGCTGACTCACACATCCCTGAAAATTCCCTGCTCTAGGGGAAATGCAGCTCTGCACGTGGAGTTTCATTCTGTCACAAACTCATCTTGCTGTTTGCAGCTAGGTTTTGTGGCTGCAGAAGTTGTGAAGCCCTCCTGCACTGAGCAGGGTGAGCTGCAGAGCTCCCTCCTCCCGCTGAGGGCTGCAGAGAGCTGCTCCCTTCTCCAGGGAGCCGGGAAGCGGAGGGAGGGAATGCAGGGCAGCACGTCCCAGCAGTGCTGGATTCATAAAGCGGAAGGGAAAGGAGTCAGGAGAGAGATGCAAAGCAATCCCCTTCTCATATGACCTATCAGCGCGCACAATAATAATAAAGCTTTATTTGATTGAGTGTTTCCTCTGCCTGGCACAGCTCATAATGTTGGAGAGATTAAATAGCACAGTTAGTGAATTAAGCAGTAGTTTACAGGGGATTCAGAGACTCCGGGGATTAGTAACGGGCTACGGATCCTTTCACATCTAGGTCACCCCTCGGAATCCAGCTCAGGTTGGCAGTGATTTAAAGCCCACAAAAATTCCCCGGTGCGGGGCGAGGGCTGCAGGGCGTGCGGCGAGGGGTGGAGGAGGGAGGATTTGGGGACGGGGCAGTGCGTGAGCCGGGGGTGCGGGGCTGCAGGAGCTGAAGGCAGAGCAGCTCTCTGTGGCTCCGGGATGTTGAGCTCTGAGGATTGCTCCCAGCACCTTTTGCCAGCACGAAGCTGTGCCTGGAAATGTTATTAACGCGTCCGGCCGCTAGCGGAGGGAAGGAGGAACTGCTCGGCATAAGCAAATGCGATATCTGTTAAATTATGAGCTGATAAAAAGTACTCGGGGACTGCGCTTGCAGCTGGGGAGGAATTTAGCACTGACGCTCATGTCTGTGAGGTGCAGAGGACCAGGAGGGCACCCTCCTGCCTCTCCTCGTCGCTGCCTGCGTGGGTTTTTTTTTGGTGGGTGATGGGAAGTGTGGGAAAGGGGAACCATCCTGCGCCTCAGTTTCCCCTCCTGCACAGCGCCTTTGTGCCCGGGGAGGGGATGGCGTGGAAGCAGAGGGGGTAAATATCAGAGGTCGTTTGGCTGCCGGGTGCAGGTAAGCACGCCGGGAAGCGAGGAGGGGAGAAGGGGGGGAGGTACCCCATCCCATCCCCGTGGAGCACGGTGCGGTGGGGGTTAAGGCGGCCGTCCTTCGCCTGAGAGCGCGCGCCCACTGCCTGCGCGCGGCTGTGCGGTGCTGTGAGCGTGCGGGAGCCAAAGTGCCGGTCAGTGATGGAGCCGCTGCCATGACAACCCCGGGCAGTCAGCCTGCGTGCCGCGCAGGGATGCTCCCCAGCAGCCGTGCCGCCGGGGCTGGGATGCTGCCGCCCTTCTGCACCCCGTCCTCCTGCTGCTGAGGGTGTCCGACATCCCAACATCAACTGACGTCCCAACATCATCCGACGTCCCGCAGCCCGGCATCCCAGCGCCCTGCGTCCCGCTGGGACCAGCCTGCCTTTGGGACCCCGCGCTGGGGCTGGAGGAGGAGAGGGACTGCTGGGCACTCGGAGGCCTTTGCCCGCGGTGCCTTTGTTGCTTCTGGACCCGCTTGCTAGCTCGCTGCAGGGAGTGGTGGTCTTTTTTCTGCCGCCTGTTGTTGGCTTTTCTTTCATTTTTTTTTTTTTTTTTTTTTTTTTTTTTTTCCCTTGTTTTTATGGACTGCCCCCGCTCGGGGAGCTGCGAACTCGGGACAAGTGTGTGTGTGCGGGGCGGGAGCGCGGCGCAGCCCCCGGCACCTCCGTGCCCAAGTGAGCCTCGGACTGCTCCCGGGAAGAGCCGGCTCGCCCAGCGTCCAGCACCTTTGCCACTTCTCCTCCTCCTCTTCCTCCTCCCCCCGGCCCTCCCGTCCTCCTCCCTCACCCGAGGATACTGGGGACTCCCTCCGGATGCCGCTCGGCAGGCTCAGTGCTCGCAGGCTGCCTTTCCAGGGGCTCTCCTGATCTCCGTGGAGCTCCGCATCGCTCGCCTCCGCGCCCGCCCCGGTGGTTTTGCTCCCCCCCGTCCCCACACACACGCACCCCCTCCCTCCTCTCCCCCCTTTTCGCTCCCGGTGGCCTCGTCGGGTGTGTTTTTTGCCTGGTGGAAAAGTCCCTGCTGCCCAGGATGGGGGTCGGTGGGTGCTTAGCCCTGCCCTGGAGGTGCCTAGTCGTCCTCTGTCTCAGGCTGCTCTTCCTTGTGCCCGCAGGAGTGCCCGTGCGCAGCGGAGATGCCACCTTCCCCAAAGCTATGGACAACGTGACTGTGCGGCAAGGGGAGAGTGCCACGCTCAGGTAGGAGCTGCTGCCTCGGGTTGTGCTGGGGGGAGTTGTGCTGCGCGGGAGCTGCCTGTGCCTTTGGGATGTGCCTCAGTTTCCCCAGTCGGGGAACTAAAAAGCTGTGAGTGCCGCTCCCCTCTTTAGGGCAGCGGGGGGGATGTGGGGCTGTGTGCTGCACCCCCTGCTCAGGTCCTGTCTGCAGCGGTGCCATGGGAGCAGGGGTTGTGCCCAGCGCTGTGCCCCACTCCTGGTCCCTATTCTCGCAGCAGATGGGCGCAGTGTCCTGCTGGGGCTGCTGGGCAGGGACACGAGCAGTACAAGGCTGCATTTTAATTGCTGTGCTGGGAGCAGTGCTTGCAACTCCGGAGAGACTTTTATCTGCGGGGTTGGATGTGTGCAGGGGAGTGAGTGGAGCAGGGCCAAGGCAGGATGACAGAACAAGGGGATGATCTTTGGTCGGACTCTCTTACAAATGTGAATCCTCTCCCTGTGTGTTTGCTGGGACTCAGCATCCTGTAGCTGTGCCTTTCAGCCCCACAGCCCCTGCACCTTCCCAGGAGGAAAGAACGGAGCAGCCGTGTGCCATCCCGATGATTTTGTCTTGTGGCATGTCATGGCTGGGCCAGAAAGGTTGGGTGTGGGTGCATAGGGGTGTGTTGGATCAGAGCTCACCTCCTGGCTTCTGGTTAAAATAGCTCTTCCAAACATCTGGGCTTTCCCAAGCACCGAAAATCCTATGGATTTACAATGGGATGTCGAAGAGGGAAGGTTTCTTGTTAAGGGAGCAAAAGGTGCAGGAGCCGTGGGTATGGGCACTCTGCAAACTCACTGGGAGGAGGAGAACTGCTCTGCTTGGGGTCCCTGCCCACGGTGCCCAGCCCCGCTCAGTGTGCAGCGTGCAGACAAACCAAGCATTGCACAGAAAGCAGAGGGACAGCGGCGTGAGTCAGCACAGAGTCAGGGCTGCTTTCCTTCTCAGCGAGGCTGTTGGGTGGTGACACACGGGTGACAAATCTTGCACCTGGCTTTGGGAAGCAGCCCTGCAGACAGTATTCCCATTGTGCTTTCCCTTGGGCCCGGTGCTTTTGGGAATTACCCATCTCATGGCATTAGTTTGGTCACTGGAGAGGTGTAGCAGTGCGTGTTGCAGTGGCAGTTGGGTGGTTTTTTCCTGCTGGTGTAAGGTGGGGACGGTTGGGAGCAATGAGTCGCTCTGGCGGTGCAGCCATCGATCTGTTGTTTGGGAGTTCACTTGTTCAGAATAGCAATGCTGCCGCGTGTTTCCTCCCGCCCAGCACACTGATGCTGGGAGCACAGGGAGGGGGAAAACGGTCTTCCTCTCTTTTTTCCTCCCTTCCCACTCATTTCCATGCGCGGTGGGAGGACGGCGAGCCGCAGCCAAGGACTTGGAAGGAAGCATATGTCTCTGGAGGTCCCTTTTTATGGTTCTTGCTTTTTTTCTTCTTTTTTTTTTTCCCAGCTGACAAAAGGGAAAGCAAGCTGAAAAACTTTGCTGCTTCTGTGAAAAACCCCACGAGGGCTGCAATTAGGTTACTCCACACTGGGTGCCAGCAGCCCTGCAATGCCCTCCCTGCTCCATGTCCGGCGTGCTGGTCACAGCACAGTGCATAGCTGCAGGGAGCAGCTTGTGCCCAGGCCCAGCAAAGCACAGCCCCAAAGCTCATTTAAAGGCGTGCAGGCTTTGCTCTGTGTTGTTCCACAGTTATGTTTGGGTGTATGGCTGCAGGTGCTTTGGTTGAGGATGGTGCGTTTGGGGTCAGTGCTATGGGGCTGCGCTCGTGTGCCTGCAAGGATGAGTCAGAGTGGGGTGGGGGCACCAGGGATGTTTGTTTTCTTCTGTATTGGGATGTCTGCTGAAGCACACACACTTTTGTGTTGCTTTGGTCATGGTTAAATGTAAATCTGTGGTTAGATGCTGGTATAGAGCTTGTGCCTGGGGTGGTTGTGGGCGAGTTACTCTGGGGTGCAGTAGAAACTGCAGGGATGGGAAGAGGGCTTGTGGATGTCCAGCCTGACTTCTCAGTGCCTTTATCAGTGCCCGTGTTGGGCTCTTGGGGTTATGCTTAGGGCTTGAGGATAGCATAGCGTGCCTTTCTTCATCACATGGTGAGGGTGAGGCTGGTCCATCCCATCCCACACCTTGGTTGCATCCTACCCTCCCTCATAACAAGCAGCTCGCACCCTGTGCTTGCAGCAGTGCCGAACCCAACCCATTTCTCAGACCTCTGCAGGAGCTTTCTCAGCACCAAAACAAGAGGTTTGATTGCGGTTTCACTCTGATAGGCATCAGTCAGCACTTCCCACGCACGGCTCTGACAATGCCAGCAGCACACATGGGTGCTTGCAGGCGTCCCCATGAGTTCACAGTGCCCTGAGCAGGAGCAGGTGCAGATCCAAGCAGAGCAGCACTTCTTTCCCTGACTGCTCCCTGGTTTTCCCGATGCTTTTATTCACTTTGATTCCACCGTGAAGAGTCAAATCTGAGTTTAACAGAGGCTGAATCCCTTCTAACCCCTATGTTTCATGTGGTTTCTGTGCCCTTTGCCATTGCTCTCCACAGTGCTTTACCTGAACCTGTTTTTACAAATGCATTTTGCCTGTGTTGTGCTCTGGAAGTAATTTTGGAGAAATGATAACTTGGCAGTGAAACAAAACAAAATCCAGCATGTTTGTTTGCCTTTGACGGATACAAACAGAACCTGCCTGCTTGCTGCACAGGAGGGAATCTTCCTCACACACAGCTCTGTTCTGTGTTGGATTTGGGTCCCTCCCTGTACCCACAGACCTGCAGCAGAGGGGCTGCACAGCCCCAATGCATCCCCAGCGCTGCTTCTGGCTTTGCTTGCGACGGCGTTTCTGAGAGAGGAGTTGATTGCTAAAGTGACATGTCAGCAAATCTCAGCCACCTCTCCCCCATCTCCGAGATGGAATCAGCCTGAAGTGAGGGGGGGGGCGGCGGGGGGGGGAGAGAAAAAACACACACACGTCATATGCATGGATTATTTTTATTTTTTCTGAGTACAATTTCCATCTGAGATGAGATGCGCTCCTGATTGCTGTGCCAGAGAGGGCTTCCCTTTATAGCTCTGCTGCCTCGAGCTCAGCGTGGCTTTTGGGGCTGGGGGCATCTTGTGCATTTCTGTGTCCATCCTAAGGCTGAGTGCCAGCTTGAGGAAGGTGTAAATCCAGCAGATGGCACTTTGGGATGAGAATGGCTGGTTGGTTGAGGATCAGAGCCTGTAGGTACACAGCTGTCCAGTGGGAAGGTGCTGGGGTGGCATTTCTGAGTGCTAAGCCAGTGTTATGAGATGGAAGTTCATCTGGTGTTAGGTGCCCCCCGAGGTCCTATCAGTGTGTTCGTCTCTGTGTAGCCCTTGGAACATTTCCTTTCTCTGTCTCTGTGAGTCATCTGCTTGCACTGCAGTCTTCGGTGGTGGGATGTGCCCCTCTGTTGGGAAAAGTGCAAAGTGTGTTATGCAGGGGGGCTCTGCAGATGGCCAGCAGCACCCTGCTCTCACCTGGAGCTTGGAGCCCCAGCAGTGGGACGGCCTTCACCATGACTGAGCTCAGAATCAAGCATGGGACCTGAATCTGTGCCCCTTCTGTTGGCTTCAGGGGATTTATCCAGCCTTGGTCTAGCAGAACTGCTCCTCTCTTCTTCCAGACCCCCCAGCCTGCCTGTTTCTGTATGTGGTGCTGGAGCTCAGACACCCTTATTTTCCTTCAGGAGGAAAGGGGGAAAATAGGAAGGACTTAATCTACAACCACATCAGCGGGAGAACTGGCTAATAGAAATTGTAATGAGAATACAGAGCCAAACAAACAAGCAAATGGGAAAATGCAATCCCCCCAATGCAATAAAGAGATTTATGCCGACAAAGGGGCTGATCCGGCTCTCATTAATGTCACCACAAGTCTTTATCCTAACTGTAATGGACTGTGGATCAGGTTGGAAGACAGCATCTTAGCTACAATATGCAAACTGTTGACGCCCTGTGCAAGGAATAGCAATGCAGAAAGCCTTCTCCCAGCAGGAAGAGTTGGCTCTTTGTTGCATGCAGCACCTCTGCAAGGCAAATGCGTGATGCCCTTGGGTGTAATGTTCAGAGGTGCAAAAGCCACTGGAAGCTGAGAGCTAGGCTGGCTGCTTGGATCTCCTTCTGCTGGAATGCCACGCATGCCTTCATTGCCAGGGCGTTAGGAATCTCGCCTTGAGTAAGGGTTCCTGGCTCTTCCCAAGCGTTGGCTCTTCCAAGCAGCAGTCCTGCTGGAAAGAGATCGGTGGCTTACGTGCAAAATGAGGAGATGGGAGAGCAGATGGGTGGGGATGGGTGGCTGGAGGCAAACTTGGCAGCTGTGCTGTCCTCTGGAAGAGGAGCTGGTGGTGATACTGAGATGGGGACGGGGAGGGAGAGACACCTCTGGGGAGGGAAAGGACACCAGGGGTCAAAGAGGAGACGCATGAGTCTAGCTCTGCATGCCAATGAGGACAGAGTAAATAAGGAATAAAACCACCTTTCAGCACGAGCAGCTGGTGAAATATCACAGGTTTGTTTGGTGGATTTTTTTTTCCAGAGATGGGATATTTTGACCGACTCTGCAGCCATAAATGGCTCTGACACTTGTGTCTGTTTTATCAGACACATGCAGAGCCCCAGACATGATCCAAACATCCATTACTTTGGATTTTTAAGCCTGATATTTAAAAAAAAAAAATCATGATGGGTTCATTATTTTCCCAGCGTTTTGTTCTCTGTTCAACAGAACTTGGGTGCTTTTCAGTTTCTTGTACATCCCTAATAAGAAAGTGTCAGGCAAAAGAAACTCCCCAGGGTATGGAGGAAGGGAGCAGGACAGCTCTAGGTTTAGACCCACTCCCAGATCCGTAGGTGATGTGGACCTGCAGGTGGGCACAGCACTGACATCTGGAGTTAGATTTGGATTCTTAGCCTGAAGTCATTCAAATCCAGTAAATTTTAGGTGTGAGGCTTTGC